GAAATCAATGAACAATGAGAGGACAGTGCCACAGTGCTACTTGGTGCATATTCCAAAATCTATAGTGAGCCAGAAATTAGAGTTGTAATTTGAACAGTACAGTTGTAGGACTTCACGTAACAGTATTATCTAGGATACTAATATAAAAGAATATCTCTTGGCCCTACTTCTGATGTGGTGAACAGAAATTTCTGAAATCAGAGCCCAAGAACCTTCATATAATTTTTATAAGGAGCGACAGCACAGCGGTAGGGCGTTTGCCTTGCACGCAGCCAACATGGCTGACCCGAGTTCGATTCCTCCGCCCCTCTCGGAGAGCCTGGCAAGCTCCTGAGAGTATCTCGCCCGCCTGGCAAGCTCCCCGTGACGTATTCGATATGCCAGACACAGTAACAAGAAAAGTCTCCAATGGAGACGTTACTGGGCCCGCTCAAGCAAATTGATGAACAACGGGAGGGCCTTTACCTTTACCTTACCTTTAAGGACCACAACAAGTGGGTTGTACTCAAGGGGTTTGGGGATACTTCTTGTGATATTCAGGTCCAAATACTTTAATACAGAAGTGCATGCTTACAGGACACCAGGATTATACCCAGCAGTTCAGTATGTGTGTGTGCATACATGCACATGTGTGTGTATGTAGGGGTTAGGCATGTAATGCCAGGCAACAAACTGAGTGTTCAGCACATGCTAACCATGTGTTCTACCACTTTAGCTACCCCTGCTGATCCCCCAGCCAAACCAAGGATCTTGATTTTAACATATACATCATTATTTGAGAATCCAGGAAATATCCTGGGATGAACTTGTCCCAGATTTACTGATTATGAAATGGAAAAGCTGACATTTTAATCCAGGACCACTGAACTTCAATGCATACATTTATTCCTATACCACATTTCTAGTTGCCAAGTCACAAGATTCATACTAAAAGCCTCCTATTTATCTTATGAATAATTATCTTACAAGTGAATTCATATTTACAATAACTTCTGATGCTGCACAAATTCTCCCATTCTTTTCAGGAAGAGATTTATCTTTCAGTCATATTTTTCTCTTTTACCCTTTTACCATTAGAAGAGATTTTTCTGGCTTTCAGTCCCCATCCTTTTGCTTTCCTCTCACTCTCCTTTCTTTTTCATAAGTAAGAAATTTCCAATATAGGGTTCTGAAAAATTAAAATAAAATAAAAGCAATTAAAAATGAAAAATCAATACAGACTCTGGGCACCAATTTATAGTTTCTTTATATTATTTATACTTATTTGCAACAGTGAACTTGTGTCCCTAAAAGAAGTTGGTTTAGATCCATAACTCTTTTACACTCTACTCTGCAGGAAGAACTACGGGCAGAACACTGACCCTAGTGTTTTTTCCTGTTTTCCTTTTCCTTTTAAAATACACAAAATAATCTAAGATCTGCTACAAGTTACCTTTTAGAAGGAAATGCACAGAAAAATAAACAACATAATTCTGTTTGTTGTATTACTCATCACAGCAAACAGAGTATATAAAATCACTTTCTTCTGCAGGTAAACTACTGCTTTAATCAAAAGTATATTGCTCTGGCTCCACTGTACTCTGGACAGCAATAAAAGTCTTTTCTTGGAGCAAAAGCTGATGTGACAATGTTTTGCTCTCTGATGATCAGGAACATGGTCTTTGTTTGGTTCAATAGCGACTTCATATTTCTAGTGTGGGAAGTGACGGTGTTTTTATCATAATTATGGCCCTGGCATAATGAGAGCATAATGGAAAAAGTGTAATTTCCTCCTATCCGAAAGTTTAGCAATAGATGGGGATGAAAAGACTAGAAATAGAGTTCCACATTGAAATACTGCACACATTCTGAGGACAGGCATATTTTCCAATAATAGAATATTTATTCTATAAGTATATTTATTTACAATAGCACTGTAGCACTGCCCTCCAGTTGTTCATCGATTAGCTAGAGTGGGAACCAGTAACGTCTCACAACAAATTGTGAAACTTGTTGTTACTGTTTTTGGCATATCAAGTACATCACGGGTAGCTTGCCAGGCTTTGCCATGAGGGCAAGAGACTCTTGGTAGCTTGCCAGTCTCTCCAAGAGGGCCGGAGGAATTGAACCTGGGTTGGCGCATACAAGGCAAACACCCTACCTGCTGTGCTCTCGCTCCAGCCCATTATATTAAAATTTATAAATAACAATTCTATAGGTACAGTTATTTATTATGAGAGTGCTTTAAAAAAGCTAAAAATCTGCTAAACAAAATATATTAAAAACATTTACTATGCGCCAGGCACTATTCTGAGAATTTTGGGAATATTAATTTTATATTATTTTTGAAGCACTTATTACTACATCACTGATAACACAGTGGGTAGGGCATCTGCCTTGCACGCAGCCAACATGGCCGACCCGAGTTCGATTCCTCCGCCCCTCTCGGAGAGCCCGGCAAGCTACCGAGAGTATTCGATATGCCAGACACAGTAACAACAAAGTCTCCAATGGAGACGTTACTGGGCCTGCTGGAGCAAATCGATGATCAACGGGAGGGCCTTGTTTAAAAAATTTAAAATTATTAATAAATAAGTCACAGAGCCACAGATCAAGCCAGATGGTTTGCCTACAAAATCCAGGTTCTTAGCTATAAAGGTAAAGGTAAAGGTAAAGGTCCTCCCGTTGATCGTGTGTGTGCTCTATGCATATGGAAAAATTATAAGTCAGAGCAACAGTTTAGCTTGTTATATTTAGCACTAATTACCATCGCAAAATATTCACTCATTGCAATACCACTCATGGAAAGTATCTGGGCAAAAAATTATTATCTTTCTAGAAATTTTATTATGTTATGGATGTAAAATGTTCTCACAAAATAGCAATGCTGGTTTCCCTTTTCTGATATCGAAGACATAAGTGCTATTCTACTTACATATGCTACCATGTATGAAGAATTTTATCTTTGTGTTTGTCTGCCACACAGGGATACAATACCACATTTATTTCACTCGTGAATATTGTCATTCAAAATTCTATACCATCCATCACTTAAGCATGCACTCTGATATATGTATTCTCTATAATCAGAGTAAGATTTTCAGGACCAATAGCCTCTTTATATTATAAAATGAAACCTACCTCACATCTTCATTTTGTACCTAGCCCCTTAAATTCTGAATATTTTGAAGCCCCACTGTGTTCTTCTGAGCTTCAGTCTAATATAATTTAACTCTAAGATATAACTAAGTTGGATATATTTATAAAGGTAAAGGTAAAGGCCCTCCCATTGATCGTCGATTTACTCAAGCGGGCCCAGTAACGTCACCATTGGAGACTTTGTTGTTACTGTGGTTTGGCATATCGAATATGTCACGGGGAGCTTGCCAGGCTCTGCCGTGCGGGCGAGATACCCTTGGTAGCTTGCCGGGCTCTCTGAGAGGGGTGGAGGAATAGAACTCAGGTCGGCCATTTTGGCCGCTTGTAAGGCGAACGCCCTACCACTGTGCTATTGCTCCATATATGATCTAATAAGCACCTCATAGCCTACATATCCTCAAAACCCAAAGTAACTTAAAAATAAATCTAGTCTGTGCCTCCTTTTTTTCCTTAAAACTTTTCCTAGCAGAATATTTTTACCCAAATCATCAGTGAGCCAACACAGTGGGTAGGATGCTTGCCTTTCATGCAGCCCATTGAAGTTTTATCTTTAACACCATATCTCGTTTCCTGAACACTGCCAGGAGAGATTCTTGAGCAAAGAGAAAGGAGTGAGTCCTGGATAGCACAGGTACGTCCCAGAAACAAAAAACAACAACAACAACAAAAAAGAGGAGTGGGAGGGGAGGGGGAAGAAAAGAAAAATTGTTTAAAGAATATCTTTACCCTTAACTTCTTTCTCCTATTCACTAAATTTTATTTTGCTGTCACGTGTTTCTTCTTTTTCACCTGCACCATACTCAGGTCATAACTATCTCTCAGGGTACTGTAACACTCTCCCAGCAGATTGCTCTATTTTTTTTTTACTTTTTTTTTTTTTGGCTTTTTGGGTCACACCTGCCAATGCACAAATGCACACGGGTTACTCCTGGCTCTGCACTCAGGAATTACTCCTAGTGGTGCTCAGGGGACCATATGGGATGCTGGGAATTGAACCTGGGTCGGCCGCGTGCAAGGCAAAAGCCCTACCCGCTGTGCTATCGCTCCAGCCCCCAGATTACTTTATTTTAACAGGAGAAACTATCCTTTGGATTCTTACTACTGCATTCCTAAACATAGGTTCACGTACTTACTGCAAACAACGTAAACAGAATCAGGTCCAACTCGTTGCTACAGAATTTACGGTTCTTCAAGCATCAGACTCAGCTTCAGCCTAGCTGCCAGGTTATTCTAGTTAGGAGGATGTCTCCTTAAATTTTAAGACAAGGCAGAAAGCGCTTCCCTCCCCTTTCCACAACTCCCCGCATTCCGCCCCCTCCCCACCCTCACCCCCTACTAGCAGGCTATTGCAAACATTGTGACAAATCTGGAAAGCAAGATACACTGAGTAGAACAAAGGCAGAGCCCTCCCGGGCTCCCGACTCCTGCCCCGCAGCTCCTCGGTGCCAGCAGTATCTCACTGGCTGCCGCTGCGCACAAAGTTCTGGGAGCTGCCTCTTCAGGCTCCTCCCAGGGTGATAGACGAAGTTTTCCGCTGTATAACCAAGTAGGGGAGTGCCTAGGGAGCATCGCCCTGGGCTGCCGCCTAACTGCTTTGGGAAGCAGCTTGCTGGGCCACCTTCAGAGGCCTGTCACTTATAAAGGAGGTGAAATAGAGGGTGTAGAATTGCAGAAGACCTTAAAGGTTAGTTTCCAAAGCCAGCAGAAAAAAACATCAGCCTGCTGAACAGGACTGAACAGCAGGGACCTGTTTCCCCCCCGCCCCCTACCCCAATCTCGCGAGAGGCGGGGTCTGATGGGCTTTTCTTCCTATCTCTCGCGAGAGCTAAGGGTTTAGGCTCTCCGTTGGCCGAGACCGCGGCAGCATCTCCTGGAGCAACAGCGATGGCGGCCTCCGTAACCGAGCAGCTTTTTTCTCTGGAGCTGCTCGTGGACTGGGTGCATCTTGAGGTCGGAAAGGTAAAGCCGCCAGCGTTCTCCGAGAAACAGGGAGACGAAGAGGGGACTTCATCGCTGCGCCGCCTGTGCCCCGTAGTGGCCTTCCGCCTGCTGGACTTCCCTACGCTGCTAGTTTACCCTCCTGGAGGTCCGGCCGCCCCAGCTCCGGAACCGAGACCCGGGCTGTTCAGCTTCGGTCGCGGCAAGTCCTGTCTCTTCCGCCTGCACCCTGCCACCTTGCACCGCTCGCTGCTTCGGACCCCACTTTACACCTTACTCTTGCACCTGCCTCCCGGGCTCCCGACTCCTGCCCCGCAGCTGCTCGGTTCCAGCAGTATCTCACTGGCTGCCGCTGCGCACAAAATTCTGGGAGCTGCCTCTTCAGGCTCCTCCCAGGGTGATAGACGAAGTTTTCCGCTGCATAACCAAGTAGGGGAGTGCCTAGGGAGCATTGCCCTGGGCTACCGCCTGACTGCTTTGGAAAGCAGCTTGCTGGGCCACCTTCAGAGGCCTGTCACTTATAAAGGAGGTGAAGTAGAGGGGGTAGAATTGCAGAAGACCTTAAAGGTCAGTTCCCAAACCCAGCAGAAAAAACATCAGCCAGCCTCAGAGCTGCCCGAAGTTAATGCTGATGGGTCCCAGGTAGATTTAAAAATTCCAAAGGCACCAAAGAACTCTAAGGAAGTAGTCTTACACAATCAGGCCAACTCTGATAGCACTGGTTCTGTGGAGAATAGCAAAATCAACGGAGTTTGTGCAAATGTAAGGAGTGTTAGCACTCTAGGTCAAGAAGTCACAGAATTGGACATTGAGACCAATATAATTTGCCCCCCTCCTCTGTATTACACTAATTTTACCCTAGAAAAAGCTTTTCATGTACCGGGTAAAATCACTATTAAGCCTCAAACAAATTTATCTGAGGAACTGAATGATACTTTTCCGGAAGAAAAACTTGTAAGTTTCTCAACATGTGTTAATTCTGTAAAACATACAAATTTTCCAACACCCAAGAGTCCTCCAGTGCTTCTTAATCCTCCAAACAATCAGGATATAGGAACAACTAATCAAACTACATATCAGCCTCAAACTGAACAAAATAGAATTGGTTCAATAAATCAGCTGCCAATGTTAAATGCTTTGTTGGTTGAATTGTCCTTATTGTTAAACCAACCCATGGCAGATCCTCTTTATGTACATCCTCAGTTGGCCTGGCTCTATAGTTCTGAGCATAAGAGGTTATCAGAATCTTCTGCCAAATCTGCATTTGAAGCTAAATCTAGGAAGGATAAGCTTTCTGTGGGGGCGAATGAAAAGGCAATCAATCTTCAACATAAAAAGAATCAAGTTGAAAACCTAAAGGATGGTAAATATTTTCAAGAGAAAAATGTTATCCCAAAAAGAGTTCCAAGGGGGAAGCTATTTTATGGCTTAACAAATACACTCAAACTTCGTTTAAAGCAAACAAATCCTGCTATGTTGGCAGTGCATGAAAAAAGAGAACAGTATCGAAAAATGCAAGCACAGATGTTAGGTGCAAAACTCAGAATGCCTTCTTCCAAAGCATTCAGCATTGCAAAACAACACCAAAAGCAACATCAACCTCCTAGAGATAAAGATTTAGAATCAGATGCATCTTTTGTTAAGTATAGTGATACTTCAAAACAAGTTAGTGGGGGTTTTGATGACCCCAGCTTGAATAAAGAAAATAAACTGAATCATGCAACAGAAGAGACAGTTGATTGTGGTAAAAATAGAACCAATGATACTTCATTGGAAGAAATAGTGAGTTCTGCAAACTCTGTTGTCCCGCATACAAATATTTCCGAAACAAAAATGATAGTGAAAGCTGAAAGTCCCTGTGGTTTCCGACTGGTTGCAGTAGACAGAATTGTAGTAGATAGACAAATAAATGATGGGAAAACTGAAACCATGGATAATGAACATTTTTATGCTGATATGACTGAAAATGAAGTAAGTAAAAATAGTTCCTCAGAAAACATCTCATTGAAATATTCAGATGATTTTACTAGCCCTTACTATTCTGAAGATTTCTATTCAGCTGAGGATACCAGCAGAATTTTATCAGTTTGTGACAGCAGTTCAAGGACAGAAGGTCCTAAACATAGTCAGTATAAAAACAAATCTAGTGTAACAAGATTGTCCAGAAGGGAAAATAGCAGTGAAAAGAGTTCTATTATTAGTCCACCATTTTCAGCTGGATCACCAGTACACTCAAAAAAAAGTTGTTATATTTCAAAAACTCAAGATAGAATTTTGAAGGAAGCATCTAGCAGTGATTTATCTTCATCACTTTGGACTGAGGAAAATAAAAACCAGGAAGATCAAAATAATATGCATAATTCTAAATTTATAAGGAGCAACCAAGATATCTCTGTTAAACTTAAAACAATATATGGTTGCAAATCTTTAGAAAGAAGTCAATCACCTCAGACATCTCAAGTGAGCTCCTATATGCCACCTAGTTTGTCAGAACTGAAATTTAATATCCTGGATTTCAGCAGCACATCAGATAACCTTGAAGAAGACAGCGATGAAGTTGGTTCACTAAATATTTCAAAGCAATGCAAAGATATTTGTGAATTAGTAATAAATAAACTTCCAGGATATACAATGTAAGAGTATGTGCTTTTAAGAAAGTTAATTTTTGTACATATAATAAAATGATGTTAATACTCTTGTTTTTAGTGCATAAATTATGTGAATCTTTAGCAGGCACAAATTTTGTTACTCCTATGATGTTTAATCAGTACTATTACTAAATTTTATAATAGATATTGCTAAATTTCATAATTTAGGGATTTAAGTTGTCTAATCATGAGAATATGAAGTTATGTTTTATATTAAAAGTCTTACAATATCAGTCATTTTAGAATGGATTCATATATAATTTTGAAAATAATAAAGATAACTTCAAATTTTAATGGAATTGAATCATTTAATAAATACAGAAGTTTCTCAATAGTTATTTTTAATGTATGAAAGTTCTTATGAAACTCAGTGGTCATTATAATTTCTTGCATTGGTTGGTGCTTAGATCTTATTTACTCAAATATACTTCTTTTAATTTTTACATATATCTACTTTTGGAATGTATGACAACAAATTTTTATTAAAAATTATTAATTTGGTTGACATTTTTTAAATATTAATAGAATTTGATCATAGTGAGATAACTAAAGATGTATTTCAAGGAAAATTATGAAATGGGAATGGGTATGATGTTCTTAGGAGACTAAAAGTAAGTTCCTTGATGAATGCTAGATTAATGTCACAGTGGTGTAAAGGTATTTTTTAGGCAAGAAAAATCCAAAATTGTAAAGAATGTCAAATACCAAGCATAATAAATTCCTAAGCAATAGGAGCTATAGAATTTTTCCTATTAAAACTGAGCAACAGTTATGACATTGTGGATGTTTTAAATGCTTGAAATAATTTCTTAGAAATGAAAAATTATGTCATAATAATGGAAATTTGAAATGCTTTTAAAGACTAATAATTACAATTTTAATTTTTATAATTAAAATAAAGCATCTCTCAAAATCAAAATAATATCAGATCCTATAGTTATTCAAAAAACATCGATTTAGTATGCATATTGCTAGCAATATTGTATTACTTTGAAGAGACCAAAAATATAAATATTTGTATCAATCATCAGAAATAATTTTTTCAAATCCAACTGTGTTATTCATTCAATAGTGATTTATGATGAAAATAGGAAAATGATAAATTTATTACTGTGTCTAAGATATGATAAAGACTTAAGGTATTTATATCTAAAATATAAGATCTCAAGTTTCTCTTTGAGTTTTTCCATGACTACATATGTCTAGAACTTTTATGTATTTTTAGCTCTAATCTAGTGAATATACCTGTTTTCAAGTTTGCAATACTTTATATTCTCATTCTATCATCAAATTCTATTTCATTTTAATTTTCTGTTCATTTTTTTCCCCATTAAAATAAATCCCCCCCACCCACCTCCCCTTACTCTTGTGAGGCTATTATGTTAACTGGGGATCATACACATTTGGTTGTGGTCCTCACCGGATATTACATACTTGGTTGCAACTTGTGCACTTTCACTTGCAGTTTCAAATAGGGGTCACACACTTTAGTTGCGTTGCTCATCAAACTGCTCATCAGCGGTTGCTTCTTAATTGCAGTGTTTATATGCTTTTGGTTGAGATTCTTGTTGGCTTGCACGTTTGTTTGTAGTATTTGAATTATCAGTTGCAGTACTTGCTCACCAGGGGTTGTACACTTAAGTTGTGGTACTCACACTTGGATGTGTGTGCCAGAAATTGCACTTTTTTCTTTTACTGTGGTACCAGGCATCACAAATGGTAGTGCCACTGGAGTCTCAACGACATGAGGCATGTTGGAGGCAGAAGTTCAGAACTCATGCAAGCAAGGCAGGTGCTTTACCACTAACCTATCCACAGGCCCCTATATAAAAATTTAGTTTAAAAATAACACTGTAACATACTTCTAAAGTCTTATCTCCTTTAAAATCATTGAAACAAAAGTCATTTTAGTAACAAGGGGCATCCGTCATTTAATTGTTTATAAAATTAAACTGCAATGTACCCTTTCTAAATAGGATAAGTATCTATTGTGGGCAATGTTCAATGGACGATAATTTAAGAAGCAAAGTAAGCCAAAAAATAGTGTTAGAATCTACCCAGTTTTAACTTTTGCAACAGAAAAGACAGCTTTCAAAGGTGACAAGTTCTTAGAATTGTCATAAGCTGATTCAAAAAGGACTGCAGATGGGCGTGATAGATTGCATTTTCCCCCAGTCATATACTTGCTATTACATCTTCAGATAAGAACAATGATACTAAGCTGTCATACTCTTCTGTGACTTTTGTTGAATGAAGTCCTGTCTTTTACCTCCAAATTAACTTTTAATTGTACAAGTAGTATATTGTGGAATGTTGGAGCGATAGCACAGTGGGTAGAGCGTTTGCCTTGCACCCGACCAACCTGGCTGACCCAGATTTGATTCCTCCGCCCCCTCATAGAGCCCAGCAAGCTACTGAGTATCTCGCCTGCATGGCAAAGCCTGGCAAGCTACCTGTGATGTATTCGATATACCAAACACAGTAACAAGTGTCACAATAGAGATGTTACAGGGTCTGCTCAAGCAAATCAATGAACAACGGAGGACAGTGACAGTGATACTTACAAACTAATCTTTTATTTGTTGAAAACAGGCCAAGGTGGTAAGTGCAAACAATTTTACAATTTTTCATCATAAATTGTTGAGTCTAGAGATATAATTATCTTTCATATTGTTTTAATTTGGATGAGGATATATAAAAATCTGTTAAAGCAAGAATTTTTATTCCAAAACTTGGCGGATTCCTTTCATTAGGGGCAGGGACACTGTTGAAATCCTGGGACCACAATCAGGTTTTCCGGGATTACTCCTGGCAGTGCTGAGGGTGAAACCAGAGTCATGTATAAGACAAGTGTCTGTACTGTCTCTGGCCTTAAACTCTTCTCATTTTTAACTGGCAGGCTACCAAAAGTATCCTGCCCACACGGCAGAGTCTGGCAAACTTCCCGTGGCGTATTCAATAAGCCAAAAACCAGTAACAATGATGGGTCCATTCTCCTGATCCTGAAAGAGCCTCGAATGTGGCACTTTCTAAAATTTCAGGGCTAGGACAGAGGAGACGTTACAGGTGCCTGCTCGAGGAAATTGATGAACAACAGAATGACAGTGATACAGTGATTTTAACTTAAAACAATAGAAGGAAAACTACTTGGTCAAGAATCATGGTGTTTGGGGATTTGGAGTGATAGTACAACAGAAAAAGCACTTGCCTTCCATATGGTTGACCTGAGTTTAATACTGGAACTCCACATGGTCTCCCCAGGACCGCTAGGAGTAATTCCTGAGTGCAGATGCAGGACTAACCCTGAGCATTGCTGTGCATGGCCCCCAAACTACAACAAAATAATAGAATCATGGAAGTTTTCCTGATTTTGTTAGAGAGTTAATTGTCTGGCCTGGAAGTAATAGATTTCAGGGAAAGCAATAACAGAGTGTCATAGTAGGAAAATTTCCTTATTCATTTTGGTTTGGGGGCCACACAACTGTTAGTACTGAGAGTACTCCTTGCAGTGTTCAGGGTACCATACAGTGGGAGTAATCTAGCCCAAGCCTGCAATAAAAGCATGTGCTCCTACCCGCTGACTTATCTTACACCTTCCATCTTTGTTCTCAAACTACTTTTATCTTTGTTACATTATGACTATTAATTCAAGAAAGAAATTCAAAGAAGAATTTTTGCTTTAGAATTGTGCATTATGGAATGCTTATTATCCTTTCCTTGCAAAACCTGATTGAAGTAACAGGAGATAAGTAAAAACAAGAAAGAACCCATGGTAGCCCTGGGTAGTAAGTATAATACTAATGTTGAACAGTTTGAAGGACTTCTGGAGATATAAAGCAGATGAAATTAGATCAGTGAAAATAGATTAGAAACATACTATACAACATTGCCCAATGGGAATGCTGCAGAAGAGATAAGACAGTATTATTTTGTGGGTTTCTCTCTCTCTTTCTCTCTCCCTTTCTCTGTGTGTGTGTTTGTGTGTAAAGTGGGTGCAGAGATTAAACCACAGTGGCTGTACTCAGGGCAAGATGACAAGAACCAAATTGGAGTCAGCCACATAATGAAGCACAAGTCTCATGTCCTCCACCAATGTCCCTATGTTACTCTAGTCTAGAAGTGATAGATTTATGCTTTCTTCTCTTTCCAGCCTGACCTGAGAAGATACTGTTTTTGAAAGGATCACCAAAAAAAACTTTAAGCACAGCCAATCAGGACTTTGGAGCAGAAGCAACTCATGAGAGAATTGGGAGAGGAATCCTAATCTTCATAGTTTAAGAGGGAGCAATCCTCTACTCCTCTGGCATGGTTCGGGGAGCATATGGGGTAGCAGGGATTGGATCAAACCTGAGTAGACTGCATGCAAGGAAAATGCCTTACTACTTCTATTATCTGTCAGGGTCCAAATTCTTTAATTTTAAAAAAATTCTTCAGTATAATCTAGGTGAGTTGGTTACAATGGCGTTAAAGTGTATGTATTTTGCAAGTCACATATGGTAGAGCTCAGAGGCTCCTACTGGTTCTGTGCTCTGGAGTCACTCTCAGCAATGTTCAGGGGACCCTGTGCAGTGCAAGAGAACAAACCAGGGTCAATCACATGAAAGACAAATACCTTATGCCCTGTGCTATTTTCTCCTGTATAAACTCACCACACCCCCATTACCACCAAAGTGCTCATGTCCTCCACCAATGTCCCTATGTTACTCTAGTCTAGAGATCATTAATCTTAATATCATTGAAGTGACATAATCTTTTTCTTTACAAAGATAGATAAATGGTATTTGTATCCTTGAAAATATAATATTCTGGAGACTATTTCTTCAATATAGGGCTGGATTGAGAATTGAATGAAGTAATATCGAGCACATCTGACAATTGGCATGATATATCTAACATCTGGGTATCTACCCCCAGGACACAGAACACATTCATTCAAAAGGACATAAGCATACCATTTTTCACTGTAGCACTTAATACAATAGATAAGATATAGAATCAGGCTATTTATCCAACAATAGAAGAATAGTTTATGAATATATGATATATGTACACAATGGAATACTATGCCTCTGCAAGGGGTAATGAAATAATGCAATTTGCTGCAACTTAGAACTGGAAGATATCATGTTAAGTGAAATAAGCCAGAAGAAGAAAGACAATCAAAAGATGATCTCACTTATTGGCATATAGATTTAATGGATGAGGAAATGCAGTGTAGCAAAAGGGGATACCTAGATCACCCCTGACCAGAGTTTAGGGAGGAGGACAGACAAAGACAGAAACCAAGGAGGGAAATAAGAAGAGATGGATAGAAAGTAACAAGGTAGAGGAGTCAAGGGTTGTGGCACATTGGTGGTGTAGTGGAGTGCTATAGCTATATCTCCAAACCACAGATCCAACATCACTGAAAGCATGAGATCCAAATTATATCAACCGAACTTAACCACTTGTCAAGATGACAGGCTGAAAATGGTGGGAGAGAACCAGGGGACTCTGGTGGAGCGAAATTGATACTGGTAGTGGAATTGGTACTGAAACACTTTCTAACACTCAACTATGAATTACTTTGTAAATCATAGTGATTTAATAAAACAAAAAACTTGAAATAGGTTTTTCAAATGTTCATGGGATATGTATGCATAGCCAGGCTGACCCATATCTTTAGTTTTTGCTACATTATTTCTGCTTTTTGTTTCTAATACATTGCTCCAGTCCTACATATTTGCGGTAGCATGCAAACTAGTATGAAACTTGGATAAAATCTACCATTACAAATGTTCAGGGTCATTTGAATTTCCTGATCCCAAGCCAGGCTGTCTTCACCAGAGCAGCTCTGAGTTTATCCCCCCCACCCCCCCACCCCGCCCTCACCCCAAACAGAACCGTGGAAGCCGAAAACCACCAGAACCCAGCCGCAGCCAAGGTGCTCACGGCCACTCTCCACATGTTTAGACAAGCCTCACCCGTGAAGGAACTGGCAGAGGAACCCAGGTATGTGGGCCACGTAACTGAGATCTCCCAGCCTGTTTGGATCAGGACTGGGCCTCCTCCACCCAGTTCTCCAGTTTTCCAGTAGCTTAGCAGTCACACCCACAATCTGCCCCCCACCCCCCCCGGTGCCATGTAATCTTATCAATGGCCAAGATCCAGGGACTATAAAATAAAGCTCCAGAGCAATACAATATTTCCTGGAACGCACTGCTCATTCACAGCTGTGCAACCTCTTATACTCTAGCCCAGTGGTGTACCTGAAGTAGCACACATCTGTTTGGTTTTAACACACTTGCTTGTATTCTTTTATATATGGGCTTAAATGGGTCCAGAATGAAATACAACAACCTTCACACACTTCCCTCTTATTGTGGTGGGAAGATGCTCGCTGACGGGGTGGGTATTTGAATATTATCTGTAATGAACTATCGTGAACTACTTTATGAAAATAAAATGTATAAAACTCTCAAAAAAAGCCACCAAAACTGCAAAATAAATGTTCAAGATGATGTTACACTTTCTTGATCTTAAGTGGCTTTTCTGTTTACAAACCACAGGCAATAAGAACCTACCTAATTGGATTGTGTGTTAGCATGTGAGTGTTGTAGTATCTTTTGTTATTATAACCTGATGCATCTGAAGGTCACAGTGATGCAAGCTGCTTTGGGTTTTACTCACATGCTCATATTCCCAGGGTGACTGGCTCTGAAATTATCCTGAAGTCACTTGATCACTTGATCACTTGACATCCCGTTATTCATCAATTTGCTAGAGTGGGCACCAGTAAAGTCTCCCTTGTCCCTGTCACGTGCTAGTGTAGCCCAATGGCATCTGCTCATTCTAGGAACACAAAGAGCCTCAAACTGATGATTCAGGGTCTTGACGAAGAAGTCTAACCATCTCATAGGTGGGTGGCCACACGATCTTTTGATTGTCCCATGGAATCCAGTTGGTAATGGCTCTGGTCTAGCAGTCATCTACAAATCTCATTATGTGTCCAGCACATCTGATTTTCGACGCCTTGGCAAGTTAGACAGCATCCCAGATCTTGATCATTGACGAAGGTTGGAACTCTGGATTCTTTCTCTCATTTGAGTGAACCGTGATACTCCAAGCATAGCTCTTTCAATTCTTCCTTGGGAGACCCAAATAGCGTTCTCATCCTATTTTCGTAAGGCCCAGGTCTCTGAAGCATATGTTAATGCAGGAAGAATAGTGGAATCAAAAAGATGTGTCCAAAGCCGGAGGTTCTTTGTCCTCTTAGCTATTTCTTCGATGCTCTTTAAGGCATTCCAAGCCACTCTCTTCCTCATGTGCAACTCAGGTGCCAGGTCATTCGTCATGTTGACTTCTCAACCTAGGTACACATAACTGTTGCATTCGGAGATGTTCATTTCATTAAGAGCGAATGGAACGTCAGGAACAAGACCATTTCTTATATACATTGTCTTTATGAGATTCAGCTGTAGTCCAACCTTTCCACACTCATGGTCGAAGTTGGCCAGCATTTGTGCCACTTGGCTAATGTTTGGTGTTAATAGAACGATGTCATCAGCGAAGCTGAAGTGGTGTAGTTGCCAACCATCTATCTTCACTCCCATTCCTTCTCATTCCAGTCGTCGCATGACGTTCTCGAGGGTGGCACTGAAGAGATTTGGTGAAATGGTGTCACCCTGCTGAATCCCTATCTTTACGTCGATGATCACTTCCTTGTAGAATAGTGAAATCCTGGTAGTGAATCCATAATACAGCTCATGGAGGATCCTGATGTATCAATAAATCAATACATTCTGAAATCATTCTTCCAAAAAATTAAGTGCTATGAGAAAACCAAAGATCATGACAATTTTTTATTTCCTCCTTTTCTTTAGAAGCAGATAACTGTGTTCTAAAACTTCAGCACTCCTAATTGTTTCCGTGATCTAAAGGAAAACAGTCAAGGGTTTGATCCAATTTATCTCTAAAGTCTGCTTAATCCCATGTCCATTTACTTTCCATTTTCAGTTTCCATTAAATGGAAAGGATCTGTATACAGGTATATATTCTCTACAACTTTACATATCTGAAAAGAAATTTTGTAGTCAAAGAATTTTTTCCAGAGGGTTTTCTGGATCCTATAGTGGCAAAATTGTAGGTCTTCCTAATTTCAAATAAATAATGAAATAAACTGAATTTTACTTCTACTGGACATTTTCTATGTAAATGCATGCTATAATTTTATTTATTTTTGCTTTCCATAGCTATAACAATGCCTTTAACCTATGACAATGCCTTTCATAAAATATATGCTTAATAAAAATTATTAGAATTGAAAAGAAACAATAATAAAGACTCTAGTATTCCTTTATAGTTTACAAACTTTAGCTTGCCTACTTTACTTCTAAACCAAGAATAACAATTTGAATACAGGGGCACTGAAAATCCATGAAATTAACTTGCTTGGTCTCCTGATCAAATTGAAGAATAAACCAAGGCCCAAATGATTCATTCATCCAGTTTCATCCAACTGATTATATTTTTATCTTATTTTATTTTTTAAAGTTAGAAATCTATTGCTAGATTAATGGGGCAAATACAGAATACTTTATAAATTTGCATGTAATCTTTGTTGAAGGGCCATTCTAATCTGTATCATTCCAATTTTAGTATATATGCTGCCAAAGTGAGCATCCACAGTTAATCTTAAAATCCAACTGAGTTAAGAATGGGTATAACCACAGACCAGGTAGATACCTCTGTTCATTTTTTTTTTATATCAGCCCTGTTCTCCAAATTTACTTGAGATAAATTTTGCAAGATCTCCCCCAAAGTCTGGATGCACTTAGGTAGTGGATGTTTTTCTGGCTGACAACGATTCTAACATATGGTACATTTTAAGAAGCACCAGAAGTTCAAAATAGTCAGGTTTCTGTGCGTCAGCTGAATTTCTTGAAATAGCTTGGTTACAAAACTCACAACAAACAAAAGATTCTTTCGCACTCTTGTATGTTAGTAAGAGCTAGACTTTGTTGTGTATTTAGATCACTTTGTACCTGAATTTAAATTATTATCACTCTCCTCAGAGGAAACCAGTTTCATTTAAAGCATTATAAAAAGCAAGAACTTGAACAAGTTTGATCTCAAACTTGAAGACCCTTGCTTGTTTGCGTGATGACATATTTTATTTATTTATTTTTAATTGAATCACTGTGAGTTACAAAGTTGCCAAATTATTCATAATCTCAGACATATAATGGTCCAACACAGTCTCTTCACCAGTAGATTCTTCTGAATATTTTAAATTTAGACACACACACACACACACTTCCTTTCATCTTTATTAGTTTTATTTGCTCCCTCATAAAACACACAATTACAATTTAAAACTTTAATTTGCTCTTTTCAGGTATTTGCCATACCATCAAAGAGATAAATGTTACTCAGGGGTTTTGTTTAATTGTTAAATTTCTCATTCCATTTGAACCTATGTAAAACATAATATTTTTTATTGCAAACATTTTTTCAGTTATTATGTATGTTTCTCTGTGAACACGTGCTCAAAATTTAATATTTTATATCTAGCATGGGGAAATTGCCAGTTCTAGGAGTGGCACCTACAATAATGCCAAATCACTCTCCAAAGTACTTACTGGAATCAATTTACTAACAACACATGAATATATTTATTCATATTATAACCTAAAACTGAGTAAATATTGTACATTTAAATTTTTGTTGCTCTTTTTAACCATTCCAGTATCACAGTGTTAATATCTACAAAGTCAACTCCATTTCTTCTTTTTTATTATCATCTGCTGCACTGACAATTCTTGAACATTTTGGTCCTAGGAATCTGAACTATTCAGACATTACTGAGTAATAAATAATAATCTTTCAATGATTAGTCATGAAATGACATTAGCAAACCTATTGCATGTAAACATAATATTTTTGTTTTTTTATGATTTTTTATTGTTTCATAGTTCTATAAAAGTTAGAATGTATAGTGTCCCACCTACTATAGGTGTATAAGAATCATCACATCTGGGAGTATGGGTGCCGCCAGCAGGTCAATCTGTACCTGTGAGGCGAGTGCATCAGCAGCCTGATGGCAACGTCAGACTTTCAGATACCCCAAAATTGCTGCTGTGCTTTTGGCCAGACCCCAAAAACTTGGGGCAAAGTTTACCAAGAAAGTAAACGGCCAAAAGTTAGGTATGTGGGAAACACCCACAAACCACCTCCGGCTCAGCTATATAATTGGAGGCAAGGCCTCTGTGTTTCTTGATTGAACTGCTTAATGGCCATGATCCCAGAGACTCAGAAACAAATCTGGAAACCCAGCGGCTTTTGACAGAAATGCGTCTGGTCCCTGCAGTAGGTTAACAGTGCTGGGCCACTCCAGGTGGAAATAGATTTCGTGCCTTGGCCTGTTCCCCCTGGCGGCCCAGTGGCTGCCATCCTTCAGAGGCCATTGGATAGTCAGGTTTGAGCCCCCAGTGACGAGACATGCAGGATCTCATGGGATGGGGGGGGGAGGAGCCAGTCCTGTCCTCCCCACCCCAACGAGACCCCAAGTCATCGCCCACGAACGGCCTCTCTGGCTCCTAATCAAGCTGCTTAATGGCCATGATCCCAGAGACTCAGAAACAAACCTCGAAACCAAGTGGCTTTTGGCAGAACTGCATCTGGACCCCGCAGTACGTTAGTGTTGCGGGGCCACCCCAGGGAGGAAAGGGTGTTGTCACTCCGCCTGCTCCCTCTTGGTGGCTTAGTGGCAGTCATCCTCCAGAGGCCATTGGACAGTCAGGTTTGGGCCCGCAGTGACAAAACTTGTTGGGCCTCACGGGATGGGGGTGGGAGCCGGGCCTGTCCTCCCCACCCCAACGAGACCCCAAGTCATCGCCCACGAACGGCCTCTCTGGCTCTGGATCAAGCTGCTTAATGGCCATGATCCCAGAGACTCAGAAACAAATCTCGAAATCCAGTGGGTTTTGGCAGAAATGCATCCGGACCACGCAGTAGGTTACTGTTGCTGGGCCATGCCAGGGGGGAAAGGGTGTTGTCCCTCGGCCTATTCCCCCTTGGCAGCTCAGTGGCCGTCATCCTCCAGAGGCCATTGGACAGTCAGGTCTGGGTCCACAGTAATGAAACTTGTTGGGCCTCACAGGATGGGGGTGGAGCCGGGAATGTCCTCCCTACCCCAACGAGACCCCAAGTCATCGCCCACGAATGGCCTCTCTGGCTCCTGTTCAAGCTGCTCAATGTCCATTATCCCAGAGACTCAGGAGCAAATCTCGAAACCCAGTGGCTTTTGGCAGAAATCCCTCCAGATTTAAAATTTCAGAATTTCAAAATCATATGGCCCAACTGCAGCCATGCGACATCATGTGTTATTCATAACCAGCAATAGAACACACATTGTCTACTGTTGCCTTTTCAGCATATCTGAGTGTTGGGATAAAATCTCAAATAATAATGGTGGGTCTGGTGTCAAAATATTGAATGTGATCAAAGTAGAGAGAGAGTAATGTGGAAATCATCTTCCCCACAGGTAGGGGGAGGGTGTGGGATGGGGGTATACTGGGGTTTTTGGTGGTGGAGAATGGGCACTGGTGAAGGTACTGGTGTTTCATTGTATGACTGAGACTTAGACCCGAAAGCTTTGTAACGCTTTCACGGTGATTCAATAAATAAAATTATAAAAAATGAAAAAAAAAAAGTGAGGTGGAGTTCATGCACAATTCAATCAGCTAATCAGTGGCTGAATAAATAGCAGTACTCCTACATTAAAAAAAAAAAGAAAGAATCATCACATCTAACAGTGAAATTCCAGGAATATCACTCTATGTAAATGAAGCACTCTACTTATTTCTCCCACTGTCTGTCTTTCCCTTTCTCTTAGATAACCATCATATCCAACAGTTATTTTAGTTTTCCTTTGCATTTTTTTGTTATTTGTATTCCGTATTTATATGAAACCATCTAGTAATTGTATTTCACTTCTTGTTTAATTTTGCTTAGCAAAATCACAAGTTTGAGCTATGTTGCCAAAAAGTGTGTTGTTTCATCTTAATAAATAGTGGGATAGTGTTCATTGGATATATAAGTACAGCTTCTTTATCAATTATGGGAATTCAGGTTGATTTCATGTTTGTTTATGATTTGAAGGTGTGAACACAGGGATGTAAATATTTTCTCAAAGTAGTGTTTTCAAATTCTTTGATTATTGCCTAAAATGGTATTTCTAAATTTTGTGGTATTTCAATTTTTAGTTTTATAAGGCATCTTCCTACAATTTTATGTAAAGGTTGCACCTACTTTCATTTCCACTGACATTGTATAATAGTTCCTATTTTCCTATGCCTTTTTAAAAATTTATTATTTCCAATCTTTTAGATTAAGGCCATTTCCACAAGGGAGAGGGAACTCTTCTATTGTAGTTTAAGTTTTCATTTCACTAGTAACTAGTAATAAGTGATGTTAAACATTTCTTCATTTGCCTGTGCACCATCTGCATGTTTGTTTTGGAAAAGTGTTTATTCTAGTATTTGATGAAGGTGTTTGGTTTTATGGTGTCTATTTCTGTGAATTCTCTATGTGCTTTGGGTAACAACCCTTTGTTGGATGTTTGATGTGTAAATGTGTCCCAATTATTAAGTTGACTTTTGTTTTTGTATTAGTTTCTCTTTCTGTGTAAAAGCTTTCTATTTTTATGCAGTAATATTTGCTTATTTTTTGTTTCCTTTTCCATTGAAATTGAATCTTAAAATTCATGTCATATGTCTGAGTTCTATGAGTTCTAGAGCATATATCTTATGTTTTTTTTCTTCTATTTATTTTATTTGGATCTTCATTCATTTTGTTTTTATTTTCTGACTGTATTTTTTATTTTATGGGACCATATATCAAACCCAGATCCTCACAAATGTAAGTCCAGACTGTTAATCACTTAATCACTTAACTTCCCGTTAGTCGTCGATTTGCTCGAGCGGGCGCCAGTAACGTCTCCATTTGTCCCTGTCGCATGCTAGTGTTGCCCAATGGCATCTGTTCGCTCCGGGAACATGAAGGGCCTCAAACCGATCATTCATGATCTTGGTGAAGAAGTCTGACCATCTGGTAGGTGGGCGGCCACGCAGTCTTTTGACATCCCGTGGAATCCAATCAGTAACAGCTCTAGTCCAACGGTCGTCTTTAAATCTCATTACGTGACCAGCCCATCTGATTTTCGACACCTTGGCAAATGAGACAGCGTCCCTGATCCTTGATCGTCGACGGATGTCAGAACTCCGGATTCGTTCTCTAATTTGAGTGAAACGTGATATTCCAAGCATAGCTCTTTCTATCTTCTTTGGGAGACCTGAATAACGTTCTCATCTTGTTTGCGTAGGGCCCAGGTCTCTGAGGCATATGTTAATGCAGGAAGAACAGTGGAATCAAAGAGATGTGCCTGGAGCCGGAGGTTCTTCGTCCTCTTAGCTATTTCTTCGACGTTCTTGAAGGCGTTCCAAGCCGCTCTCTTCCTCCTGCGCAGCTCGGGTGCCAGGTCATTTGTCATGTTGACCTCTCGACCTAGGTACACATAGCTGTTGCATTCGGAGACTGTTAATGTTCATTTTCTAATAGACTTTAAAATTAGCCATTTTTTCTTCCTGACCTTGGTCAATGGCATGCTTTTCTAGTATGCT